ATTCTATGATTCTATGATTCTATGATTCTATGATTCTATGATTCTATGATTCTATGATTCTATGATTCTATGATTCTATGATTCTATGATTCTATGATTCTATGATTCTATGATTCTATGATTCTATGATTCTATGATTCTATGATTCTATGATTCTATGATTCTATGATTCTATGATTCTATGATTCTATGATTCTATGATTCTTGGAGAAAGAAAAAGAAGGCCCAGCAGAACTGTTACTTCTAACAGAGGGCACGTGTTGACCTGTTTAGGCACCTGGTTGACAGAGTCCCCTGGGAGGCAGTCCTGAACGGCAAAGGAGTCCAGGAAGGCTGGACGTTCTTCAAGGAGGAAATCTTAAAGTCACAGGAGCAGGTGATCCTCATGTGCCAGAAGACGAGTTGGCGGGAGTGACGATCCTCCTGGCTGAACAGAGGGCTTTGGCTGGAACTCAGGGAGAAAAAGGGAGTTTGTGAGCTTTGGAAGAAGGGGCAGGTAACTCAGATGGATATTGTGAAGTTTTACAGGGAGAAAACTAGAAGAGCCAAAGCCCAACTAGAAATTAATCTGCCTACTGAAATAAAAGACAATAAAAATTTTCTCTAAAAACATGAGCAACAAAAGGAGGGCTGAGGAGAATCCTCGTCCTTGATTGGATGCATGGCGAAACATAGTAACAAAGGATGAGGAAGAGGCTGAGGTACTTAATGCCTTCTTTGCCTCAGTCGTTAAGAGTAAGACCAGTTGCTCTCTGGGTACCCAGTCCTCTGAGCTGGAAAACAGGCATGGGGAGCAGAATGAAGGTCCCATAATCCAAGGGAAAATGGTTAGTGACCTGCTACACCACTTAGACACACACAGATGTGTGGGGCCGGATGGGATCCACCCAACAGTACTGAGGGCGCTGGTGGAAGTGATCACCAAGTCACTTTCAATGTATCAACAGTCCTGGCTAAGCGAGGAGGTCCCAGTTGACTGGAGGTTAGAATATATGACACCCATCTACAGGAAGGACTGGAAGGAGGATCCAGGGACCTACCAGCCTGTCGACCTGACCTCAGTGCCAGGAAAGGTTATAGAGCAGATCATCTTGAGTGTCATCACGTGAGACATGCAGAACTGCCAGGTAATCAGACTCTGTCAGCGTGGGGTTATGAAAGGCAGGTCCTACTTGACTAACCTTGTCTTCTAGGAAAAGATGACCTGCTTAGTGGACGAGGGAAAGGCTGTGGATGTTGTTTATCTGAACTTTAGCAAAGCCTTTGACACCGTTTCCCAAAGCATTCTCCTGGAGAAACTGGCTGCTCATGGCTTGGACGGGCGTACTCCACGTTGGGTAAAAAACTGGCTGGATGTCTGGGCCCAAGGACTTGTGGTGAATGGAGTTCAATCCAGTTGGTGGCCGGTCACAAGTGGTGTTCCCCAGTTCTGTTTAATATCATTCTCAATGACATGGACGAGGGGATGGAGTCCCCCCCAGCAAGTTTGCCGATGACATCAAGGTGGGTGGGAGTGTTGATCTACTTGAGGGTAGGAAGGCTCTATGGAGTGATCTGGACGGGGTGGATTGATCGACTGAGGCCACTTGTATGAAGGTCAACAAGACGAAGTGTCGGGTCCTGCACTTGGGTCACCACAATAAATCCATGCAACACTACAGGCTGGCAGAAGAGTGGTTGGAAAAGTGTCTGGCAAAAAAGGACGTGGGACTGATGGTGGCTGGTTGAATATGAGCCAGCAATGTGCTCAGGTGGCCAAGAAGACCAAGAGCATCCAGATTTGTATCAGGAAGAGTGTGACAAGGAAGACTAGGGGAGTGGTTGTCTCCCTGTGCTCAGCACTGGTGAGGCCACACCTCAAATACCGTGTTCAGTTTTGGGCCCTTCACTACAAAAAAGACATTGAGATGCTGGAGCATGTCCAAAGGACAACGAAGCTGGTGAAAGGTCTAGAGCACAAGTCTTACAAGGAGGGGCTGAGGGAACTGGGGTTGTTTAGCCTGGAGAAAAGGCGACTGAGGGCAGGCCTTGTCGCTCTCTACAACTACCTGAAAGGACATTGCAGTGAGGTGCGTGTCAGCCTCTTCTCAAAAGTAACAAGTGATAGGAAAGGAGGAAATGGCCTCAAGTTGTACCAGGAGAGGTCTAGATTGGATATTAGGATAAACTCCTTCACTGAAAGGGTTGTTAAGCTTTGGAACAGGCCTCCCAGGGAAGTGGTTGAGTCACCATCCCTGGAGGGATTTCAAAGCCATGTAGATATGGTGCTCAGGGACACGGTTCAGTGGTGGACTTGGCAGTGCTGGGTCAAGGGTTGGACT